TCAGGCCATGCCCCCCCTCCAGCGGGCCTTGATGGGGGACCTCAAGGTGACCTCAAGGCATGCTCACTGCCCTGGTGCCAACACAAGGTACCTGAGGCCATGCCCCCCTCTGATAGGGCTTGATGGGAACCTCAAGGTGCACCCCATACCCTAGGGCCAGGCAGTGGGACCTCATCCCGCAACCCCCACTTCGGTGCCAGGCCAGGGAACCTGAGGCTGCGTCCCTGCCTGGTGTGTGCTGGGACTTAATGGGAGACCTGAGGCTGAGCCCCCACCTGGAAGGGCAAGACGGGGGACCTGAAGCTGCACCCCCCACCCAGCGGGGCTTGACAGGGATGAAGCCAGCCGGGTCTGGATTTCACCCAATGAGGGTGGGCCGGCCGGAGCCGGGTCTCACACAATTTCGAGGCACGTGTGAGTGGGCAGGGACTTAACTCTGGGTCAAGGAGTAAGATTTTCATATACATTTTACTAATTTTATTTCACCTCTGACACTTCCATTATAGAGAAAGGGCAAATAGCAATATTAAAATATTTCCTCTAATTATTTTTCTTTTAATGTGCACGAATTTTGTGCAAACAGACCACTAATTTATATATATGCCTAAGCAACCATTATGACCAAATAACCTGAATGACTGAAATCACTGGTCAACCAGTCAACCAGTCACTATGGCATGCACCAACCACCATGGGGTAGATGCTCAATGCAGGAGCTGCTTTCTGGTGGTCAGTACACTCCCACAACTTCCCGCAGCCAGCCAACTGCCCCTGGTCCCTCCCTCTGGCCAGCCAGCCAATCTTGGCCCCTGGTGCTAAACCATTCCTAGATGATCTGCTTCTGGGTAGGAGTTTCATACATAGTAGAGCAACTCCCTCACTGCAATCTATTGAAAGTCAGCCCTTGACACAAGGACTTGTCTCAGTTCCATCCTCTCCCTTCCCCAGGGGCTGCCTGCCCACTGCGGTGATGGAGCAGTGGGGAGGGAAGGAAGGGGGGAAGCAAGAAACCATGTGGTGGCAGGGCACAAACAGCAGCATCAGCATACAGCGTCTGTCCCTTCCATGTCCAGCCTGGCAACTGTCGCCTCCTCTCCCAACCCCACCGGGCCCATGGGCGGCAGCACATGTGGCCCCTTTCTCAGGGAGTCCAAGGTCCGACTCCCTCCTTGGGGCCAGCAGCCAACCTCCTGTGGTCCCTCCCCATTCCCCTCTCTCAGGCCAACAGACCCTGATCAATCTGGCCCTAATTGCTGGCCAGTCCTAGAGACCCACCCATGCACAAATTCATGCACCGGGCCTCTAGTTAATTTATAATAGTTGGAATAAGTTGTAAATTTAAGTGGCTAAAGCTTTAAGATTCGTAAACAGTTTTTAAGGAATGGGACTGCTTAGCAAAAGAGTCCATACAGCTACTTATGGGATTTTTTTTTATTGTTGACAGTGGTACAGATGTCTCCCATTTTCCTACCTTTTACCACCCTCCATCCAGCCCCTGCTCCAACCCAAGCCTTCCCCATACTATTGTCTGTGTCCATGGATTATGTATTTCTATATATATGTAACCCTAATATGCAAATAGAATGAACAGTGGAACAACTGAACAACTGGTTGCTCTGACATGCACTGACCACCAGGGGTCGGGCATGGGACAAAGAGATTTGCCATGTGGGACATAGCAGGCATCAGCAGCAGGCAGCAGAGCATGGGACATGGTGGGCATTGGCCACATTGGGATGGTGGAGCAGGTGAGGGAGGATACCAGTCACTGTCATTGGAGCGAACCTCCAAAGATCTGAGGAAGAAGACCTACAAGGCAGTATCCATGGAGTGGCAGCTCTAGCTCCATTTTAAAATAGCTTCATTTATTATATTTTTAAAATATGGTTGATTATATCATTGGCCATTTGGTGATTGGTTCGATCTCCAGCCCCTCCCTGCACATCAGGAGGGGGACTGAAACTTCCATCCCCCATCACATGATTGGTTCTCTGGGTAGTGGGCTTCCCATCCTCAAATGAGCCAGAAACCACCTCATTAACCTAACAAAAGACAACTTTGAAGCTCTCAGCACAAAGAATTCCTAGCAGTTTAGCTTTGTGCCAGAAATGGCTAAAGACCAAATATGTGTTTATTATAAATCACAATGTCACAACTGCCCTGGCCTGGACAGGGCTTTTCTCCCATCCTCCTCCTCTCCATTATTCCCCTCAGCATCACCTCCATCCCTCACTGAGGTCATACTCTGGGCTAGACAGCATATGACTGTTTACAAGGACCACCTCTTCTCTCCCTGACAATATCCGTGACAGGGTGGGCTGCTCTGACTCCATGCCACCAATGTGGAAACTAACTCAGAGTTCCTCTAAGACTGATGGCCAGGAAGTGGCAGATCTAATGCTTTCAGCTCAGACTTCTGTGCCTTAAAAGATCCATTTCCCCCCAGTTTATCCTGTTCCCTTCCTTTGTTAAATTTCCCCCCACATAAATCATTAAAATAAAAATAAACATGTTCATTTTATTGATCTGTTTTCACTCTGCTGACTTCCAAAATTAATTCAAAAAGGCTTATGATCATATAAATCAATAAAACCAAAACTTGTTAACTTCTATTCACAGATACAAAAATGATGCATGAACCACTGCTCTGTAGCCCTTTTATGGGTTAGAGTCCCTGTCCTCAAAGGTCCTTTTTGAGATAAAAGTCAGAAATGGAAGACCAGAGCGGGATGGTAGGGAGAATTGGCTCCGAGCTTCCTGGCAACCAGGACGAAGAGGAAAGCAGGCAATGCTACGGCACACTCTAGGTGGCTGTCCCTGCTAAGCTGGGAAAGCTGTGGATGTGGACATGGGTATGAAAATGGTGTCAGGCCATGAACATGCAAGGGCTGCTCCCTTTCTAGCTTCTGTAGTCCTGGGACTGGTGTGCTGCCAGGGCTTTAGAGAGAAAAGAACCTGAATTTATTACTGCCTCTACCAGGAGCCCCTGAGAAAAGGAAGGTCCCCACTCAGTGTGAAATAATTTTTGCCGCTGAATATTTTGTTGAGAGTATTTGTTGAGAGAGTTACCAGGTGAGGTCTGGCCTGGAGCGGGTCTGCCTCAGGCCTGCTGGAAGTGTATGGGTTCTTGACTTCATGTGGGAAAGATTTCACAACATGAGTCCAGGTGTTTTTTTTTTGTTTTGTTTTGTTTCATTTCGTTTTTATTATTATTATTAAATTATTATCTGTGTACATATCTTATCATTCCCCCACTCCCATACATACCCCCCTCCCGAGTTTTGTTTCCATTGGTTGTACTTATATGCATGTATACAAGTCCTTCGGTTGATCTATTATCTCCCCCAGATCTCCCTACCCTCCCCGCTGTAATTTGATAGTCTGCTTATTGCTTTACTGTCTCTATATCTATCTTTTGGTTCATCAGTTTATAATGTTCTTTATTATCCATAAATGAATGAGGTCATGTGGTGTTTCTCTTTCATTGACTGGCTTATTTCACTCAGCATGATGTTCTCCATTTCCATCCAGGTTGCTGCAAATGATGAGAATTCCTTCTTTTTATGGCAGCATAGTATTCCATTGTGTAGATATACCATAGTTTTTTATCCAATCATCTGATGACAGGCACCTAGGCTGTTTCCAAATTCTAGCTATTGTAGATTGTGCTGCTATGAACATAGGGGTGCATATATCCTTTCTGATTGGTGATTCTAGTTTCTCAGGATATATTGCTAGGAGTGGGATTACTGGGTCAAGTGGGAGTTCCATTTTTAGTTTTTTGAGGAGACTCCATACTATTCTCCCCAGTGATTGCACCAGTCTGCATTCCCACCAGCAGTGCATGAGGGTTCCTTTTTCTCCGCAACCTCGCCAAAAGTAGGTTTATTAAAACTGGGGGCAATGAAACAAAGGCTTAAGGTAGGAGAAGCAATAGGAGAAAGTCAGTGAAAAGGGGGGCCTTGGAGATAGATTCAGGGGATAAGCCTGGGATGAGCTGCTACTGCTGCCCACAGCTACCCTGGTTGCAAGTCCCAGGAGGTCCCTTAGAGTTTAGGAGAAAAGGAACAGAGGTACAAGATGTGGATGTACTCTGATTCCTTTATCTTGAGACTTCTTATCTTCCTTTACAGTTGGCTGTAATCCTAGGGGAGGGTCTTAACAGAATATTCATTAGCTTTTCAGATGTGTCCTTCTAGGTGTTGATTCATCACAATGTGTGCATAGAGGGATCAGGGTTATCTGTTAGTTTTAAAGACCAGAATTGAAGAGGGACCGGGACTAAGGCTTTTCTGTCCAAGGATTGTCTACAATGTGTAAATCACTATTCCTAAGTGTCTTTGATTAGGGAAGATAAAACCTTGTGATTCATTAGCTGGCTATAAATTGCTCAAATCATTTGGCCTTATTTAATTATTTTGTCTCAATTTCCCTTATTCCACTTGCCATGGAATTTCCCTAGCTTCTTACTCTCCTACCAACTTTTGTCACCTCCTGTCTAGACACCTGAAGATAGACTAAGGAGAGCATTGTGTTCCTGAAGATAGACTAAGGATTGCATTGTGTTCCTGTGGGCAATGTGAAGGCTGGGGCACCCAGGCCTAGGCTATGGTGGGCACCCTGGAGAGGCTGCTGGAGGGGCCTTGCTGCATGGCCCTGGGTGAGGGACAGAGACAGGGTCTGAGTTACAGCCCTCAGGACAGGAATGTTCATTTCGAGGCCAGCTTGCCCAACTAGGAGTCTCAGGATGTGGCCCTGTGTAGGCTGTGCTGAGCCCTCTGAAGCCATACTGTCTAGATGAGTGAATGCGTGAGGAACGTGACTTCCTCAGGTATGCACATGGGGTCTGTCTTTCTCCAAAGCCCTGTCTCCTTCCCCTGCATGGAAACTGCTAAAAAGGGATGCCCAGGGACAGGTGCTAATGCCCTGGGGGCACAGTCAGGCCAGCGCCCACGTGGAGAGGGCCTTGGTGTTCACTGCAACCCCTTGCCCCTTCGCAGAAGGTGGGCTGTGATGGCGTGATCGGCTCCAACAAGCAAGAAGACAAGTGTGGTGTGTGTGGAGGGGACAACAGCCACTGCAAAGTAGTCAAAGGCGTGTTCACTCGCACACCTAAGAAGCTGGGTGAGTGAGCCCCTCCTGCTGGCCCTGGGGCCTGACTGTCTACAGCACCGGATGCTTGTGCTTGGGGCTCTGTCTGGGTTCGTGACTCTTCAGAAAGGGTGAGGTGGTGGGAGAACCTGAATCAGGCAGCTTGAGCCAGGCTCCAGGGTGGATGGGGTACAAGGAAAGTACGGGACCAAGCGAGGGTTCAGTGCAGAAGATGCCAGAATATGGGTATACAGGGTGGGCTCAGATGTCTATTTGAGGGCAGGGGCTTGCTGAGGCCACCCCTCCCCTGCCTTTTAGGGCTGTGGGCCAGCTGGGGTACCTTGCTCCCTGACCCTTCCGCTGCCTTTCTGGGCGGTAAGTCGAGACCCACGAAACACTGGGGCCTCTGTAGCTGTCGTTGAGGGCAAGGCCCTCCATGCCTTGTCAGCACCCCAGTGACTCCTCTCCTCTCATTTGTCTTTGTCTCCCCGAATCCCAACAAGGTTACGTGAAGATGTTTGAGATCCCCACAGGAGCCAGACACCTGCTCATCCAGGAGGCGGACACTACCAGCCATCACCTGGGTGAGTCCCACAGCCCAGGAAGGCGGCCATCCTACAGCTGGCTCTACCGGGTATGGGCAGTGCCCCCGGGGTGGGAGGCCCGATTGGAGGGACTCTGGTTCCTAGCTCAGCCCATGCCGTGGACCTTTCCTGGATTCACCTTTTGGTGGAAGAGCCGTGCGTTTGGATCAGAGGGCTCCGGGCAGCAGCTGTGGCGGGATATGTGCCCCACCCCACCCACCCCCAGCCCACAAGAATGACTCCCCACCTAAGGCTAACGGGAACTGCCCCTCACCCACTGGGAGGCAGGCAAGTCTGCAAGCAGGAGAGTCCTGAGTAGCCTCCCCACACACCCTGACCAGAGCGCCTGCGTGGAAGGTGGCCTCAGGCAGTGTATTTGCATATTTTCCATTCGTGAACTACTACATTCCTGAGATTCTGTCTAGCAGTAGAGATCTCTGACTGCTCTTGAAATGTGGAATGTTCCAGCAGCTCTGGATGCCCCTTCCCACGTGGCAACCCCCTGCCAGAGGGACTGTGCTCACTGAAGCTGCCTGGGGCCCATCCTCACCCACTCCCCAAAAAGGCTTCTGGGCCCAACCTCCTGGGTAGTCACAGGGCCCAGAAGTGATGCAGGGGGCTGCCTGGAGATCCTGATCAAGTCCCTTCCCCCAGTTTGGGGCCCACCTTCTTCCGAGTCCCGAGGGGCTCAGATTGGTTCAGTACCTCACCATCTGGCATCCCTGCTGAGACGTGACAGAGCACATTTTCCTTTCATTGTCATTTTTCTTCTGTTGTTACTTTAGGAAGAAACTTTATATTGCTACCCAAAATGCAAAACTAGTACCACTTGCCTTAAACAGAAGGCAGGTATAAAAGTCAGTGCCCCCTGGGGGGGAAAAAAAAAAAAAAAAAAAAAGACAGCTAAAGACTCCAGGTCCCAGGTCCCCTGTCTCTGCAGGAGAGGAGAGAGAGTTGATGACACATTGAGGACCCATGACACCGACTGAGGTTCACTGTGTGCTGTAGACAGAGTTACAGGAGGCTTGTATGCAGTTACTTCCTCACTCTGTGCCCTGTCCACTCCCCAGTGCCCCCTCCACACCATGGGACGCGTGAGGCTTCCTGACCAGCGGGGTCCTCAGCTCCCAGGCATTCTGTGCAATGGCCTGAGTGGCCCCTAGTCAGCGCAAGCCTCTCCAGGAGGTATGGGGAACTGAGCGGCCCCAGGCAGGGCCCCTGTTACAGATGGGCTGGGGAGACCCTGATTTTCAGCTGGACATATGCTCACCCCATGGCAGGAAGCTGCCCCAGCATTGTGCCCTAGTGTCCAGCAGTCACCCTGCACGTGGGGGGTTGAGGCGGCAGGCATCAGCCCTGAGTGCCTGCTGAGTGTTCCAAATAGACTGCAGAGAGGAAGCCTTGATAGCTGTTTCTACTTCTGGGCAGAGCCCCTGCTCCTACAAAATCTGTCGGGGCAGATCTGAGAAAAGACCCTGGGGCCCTAACTGGTTTGGCTCTGTGGACAGAGTGTCGGCCTGCAGACTGAAAGGTCCCGAGTTTGATTCCGGTCAAGGGCATGTACCGTGGTTGTGGGCACATCCCCAGTAGGAGGTGTGCAGGAGGCAGCTGATCAATGTTTGTCTCTCTCATCAATGTTTCTAACTCTCTATTCCTCTCCCTTCCTCTCTGTAAAAAATCAATAAAATATATTTTTTTAAAAAGACCGTGGGCCTGGCAGAAAGGCACGAGTTCTGGCCAAGTGGCAAAGGAGGAGCCCGGCTCTCAGGTGATTTGGACTGTCTGGCAAGGACACTCCCTGCACCTGCCCAAACCAGTGTGTGCCCCCCTTTTCTCTCCCCCCCTCCCCGCCGCCATCCTGGCCTCCCTCCAGCGTGCCTGGATCTTGCCCCTGGTAATCGTGGTGGGGGCTCCCTTTTGCTGTTTTCAGCCGTCAAGAACTTAGAGACAGGCAAGTTCATTTTAAACGAAGAGAACGACATAGACCCCAATTCCAAATCCTTCATCGCCATGGGCGTGGAGTGGGAGTACCGGGATGAAGATGGCCGGGAGACGCTGCAGACCATGGGCCCTCTTCATGGCACCATTGCCGTGCTGGTAAGTCCCCAGGCCAGGGGCAAGTGGCCACTGGGGAAGGATGGGGCCTCCTGCATCCTTCAGGCCAGCTTGGTACAGCCTCTCTGGCCCGTCCATCCTGTGTCAGAGCGGGGGACAGGCAGTTGGGGCTCTGGGTCCTCCATCGCTCCCAGTGACCCAGGCACTCTCCCTTAGGGTTCTGGTTTCCCTGTAGCACCTTTCATCATGCTCTCTCATGTCTGCCATCCAATCCCAGTTGTATCACAGGGTTCAGGATGCTAGATCACCAGCCCATTGGGCTTGTCCCTGAGCAGGCCTGGACCCCAGGTCTTCGAGTTCATGAGCACGGACTGCTCCTGGTTAGGGGAGTACTGAGGGGGACTTGATTTTCTAATCACTTTTTTTAAATCAATTTTAATTACATAATATATTTTATCTGTTAAAAAAAAAATCAAACCGCTAGAGATAAAACTAAGGTGAGTTCACTGTGGTGGGGAGACCTCACGTAGGCCTCGGGGCCTACAGGTTCTGCATTGGTAAATTCACCTACTTGCAAAAACGTGTCTGTAATCCCCAAATAAAAACTCAGCGTGCTTTCCACAGACAAACGCAGAGCAGTGGCATGCATGCTCCAGCTGAGGGGGAGCCAGGGACCCTCTGCTGCTTGTCTTAGCTCCTACTATAAACCAGTGTCCTTTTCACAGGTATTTAGTGCCACATTTCTCACATGTTTGTGCTTTAATGGGATGGTTTCACTGTTTAAAATGGCCCCAGACAGTGCCGAAAGGCTCCGTGCGGTTCCCCATGGTGAGCAGCTGTGGGGTGCCCCATGGAGCCCGTGCAGAGTCGGGGAGCTTCTTGCAGGCTGTGTTACAGGGCCTGGCCCGAAGATGGCAGGGAACGAGCACCATGTATTAAGTCCTTACACAGAAAACGTGTAAAAGATAAGGTTACATGTTGACAGTAGATGAGAATGCCATGGCCTGAATCTCGCAGGACCCTAACACCCTGTGAGCAGTGGGTCAGTGTTGGGGACTTTGTAGAACATGATGACCTACAGCGAATACGCAGACTGGGCTGTACATTACCTCGACTGACACTTCTGAACTGGCTTCGAGGAGGCGGAGGTGGGGCAGACGCATTCACGGCCGTGTGGGGGCACAGGTCATCCCGCAGGGAGACACCCGGGTCTCGCTGACGTACAAGTACATGATCCATGAGGACTCGCTCAACGTGGATGACAACCAGGTCCTGGAGGATGACACCGTGGGCTATGAGTGGGCCCTGAAGAAGTGGTCCCTGTGCTCCAAGCCCTGCGGTGGAGGTGAGAGGCTCCTCAGGGCGGGAAGCGGCTTCTAGGGGAGGGGCTTCTGGAGCCCCCAGGGCTCTGCTGACTGCCCGGCCAAAGGCACATGCCAGGCATGAGAAGACGGCCCCCAGGGAGGTTGAGGCAGTGATCTGTGTCTGGGTGACAAGGGCCTAGCCCTGCCTGGGAGGGAGCAGAATGTGAGCAGGAGGGAGGTGTTCAGAGCAGCAGGCCTAAAGCAGCCAGAAGGCATGTGTGGGGTCTGGTCGATGCCAACATGAACCTAAATCAGTGCAGGGGGCAGGAGCTGGCCTGGCGGGAGTTGCTGTGAGAGTGGGTTGGATGGGTTACCATGGCATCACGAGGCAGGGCACAGGGAAGAGGTAGGCTGGCTGGAAATGGGTGGGTTCATTCAGAAAAGCCTCCCAGACCTTCCCGGGCAGCACTGGGTGCAGAGGAGTCCCTCCTGCCCACACCTCAAGAAGCCCACAGGTGGGCGGGACATGCAGGCATATAGGAAGCTCTGATTTGCCCAGAGTGGTCCCTGCTTCTGCGGGGTGAACAAGATCAGAGGTAGAGATGACAGCTCAGCCTGCAGGAGCAGGGGCCAGGACAGATCTCCCGCAGATGCCAAAAGGGGTTCGCTGAGGGGCTGGTCACCCACTCCCTGGCACTGCCAGACAAAGGCTTCTCTCTCCAGTGCTTGCACCTGGTATTGGTGTCCCCAACTTCTGTTGAGCCTCCCCAACCCCTGTACATTTCCTCTGTGTGTCCTGCTGATTCTTGCTTCTACATATCTCTTGGACCCACCTGCTATTCCCATTTTCCAAGCCCTGGCACCCCTTCGCTCCCTCCCTGGCCCTGTGTGTTCACTCGCCCCCAGAGTGACCTAGTAAAGAGGCAGATCAGACCATATCCCTCCTGGTGTCATAACCTTCAGTAGCTCCCTCTGCTCTGAGAATACAAACAATTCTCCTCATGGCCCCCGAGGTCCAGGCAGCTTGCTAACCTCTCCACTGCTCACCCTGGCTTTAGATGCTTCTCCTGGGCATGCCATGCTCCTGCCTCAGGCCCTTTGCACAGGCTGTCTCCTCCCCTAGGGGCCTCTCCCCTGCTTCCCCCTCTCCTTCCTGTGATGCATCCAGATGCCCAGACTGAATCAAGCTGCCCCACCATATTCCCCCATGTCTTGCTCACTAAGCTGCGGTTCTATGGCAGCTGGCTGTGGCACTGTGACCTGGTCTCTATAATTCTTAGTGGTGAGGGCTGTCCTATGCATTGTAGGATGCGGAATAACACTCCCCCAGTTGTAACAACGAAGTGTTCCAGACATTTCCAGAGGTCCTCATGTGCAAAGTCATCCCCATTTGGGAACTGCTGCCCTAGACTGGTGGGAGGGGACTCACGGGACATGTTCCCACGGTTAGCCAACTCCTGGGTCATGCCAGGTCCTCGGTGCATGATGGCTAAGCAGATGGCTAAGCAACAGGAGAGGAAATGAATCCTTCCCTCTGTCCCAGGATAGCCACGGGGCAGGGAGCAGGTGGTCGCTCTCCCTGCCTCTCACCCTCACTTCCCTAGGGTGCTGGGAGGACACAGGCTAGACACCTCCAAGGCCTGGCACACTATCCCACCCCACCAGAAAGTTGGGAAGAACGGCCGAAGCTGCAGGTGAATCGGCTCCTTTGCACCCCGTAGAGGGGCCACACTGCCCCAGTGAGCCTCCTCGAGCTCTCATCTTCAGGGTCCCAGTTCACCAAGTATGGCTGCCGCCGGAGGCTGGACCTCAAGATGGTGCACCGCAGCTTCTGCGACGCCCTCCCGAAGCCCAAAGCCATCCGCCGGGCTTGCAACCCGCAGGAGTGCTCCCAGCCCGAGTGAGTGCCTGGGGCTGCCCAGCTGCCTGGCTCCAGCCTCTGGGGCCCCCTAGAGGGAGGAGAGGGCAGATCCCCTCCCAGGGCCCGCAGTGGAGGGAGGTCTGGGATCTGTGTCCATGGGGGCGGGGGTGGTCTGGGCCTCATATTCCCTGAGATGGGTGATGGGTTCATTGTCACTCACCATGTCTTGTGGAGTCTAAGAGGCTGTGTGCATCTGAGGGACAGCAAGTGGTAATGCTCAGGTGAGGGAAACTGAGGCTCGAGGTATAGAGCTAAGCTTCTGATCCTGTGGAAGATGTTTCCAAGACAGCCCATTATTTGCAGGACCTTGGGCAAGGGTGCAGCAAGCTTATGGGGCACCTTTGTGAGACCAGGAAAGGCCGTGCCTGAGAGAGCAGGAGGCCCTCCCTCTGTCCACCGTGGTCACAGGGGACTGACCATGTGCCTCTCTGCCCTGGCAGATGGATCATGGGCGAATGGGAGCCGTGCAGTCAGAGCTGTGGGCGGACAGGCACGCAGGTCCGCTCCGTGCGCTGCGTTCAGACCCTGCACAACAACACCACTCGCACCGTGCACACCAAGCACTGCAACGACGCACGACCGGAGAGCCGCCGGGCCTGCAACCGTGAGCTCTGTCCTGGACGGTGGCGGGCCGGACCCTGGTCTCAGGTAAGCAGGCCCCCTGGCCCTGTCCTATGTTCTCAATCCCCAAACCAAGCTTGGGCAGGACTGAGGTGGCCGGGACATCCCACCTTTGCTGGACTCAGTTCATGCCCTGGGCCCCCTCCCAGTGGTGCCAGGTAATCAGTGCTCTGTTCAGAAACCCAATGAAAGGTGTCCTCAGGGCAGCCTGGACTCCTAGGAGGCTGAGGGCAGCCTGGGCTCCAGGTTCTTTTCTCTGAAGGTGGCTGTGTGGTCTAGAAGGTCAGCTAAGCTGGCAGGAGGGGACACGAACCAATGAGGGTTTAGACTTGGGCTGGAAGGAGTGATAATTCTTGGGGACTGAGGAGAGAGCTGAACTGACGTAAGCACTGACATCTTCTAGCTCTCAGCCAAGACCAGCCTCAGGGTCCATAATTCACTGGGAGGATCGCAGGGCTCAGAGGTCGGTGCACTCGTGGTTATGGGTTATCACAAGGAATGCTCAGAGCACAGTTAGGGAAGGGAAGAAGGCCATGGCCAAAGCCAGAGGAAACCGGCACCTGCTTCCAGGTGTTCCTTCCAGTGGATTCACCATGGATGCACCTAATTCTCCCTGCAGGTGGGTGCAGCAACACACACCAAGTGCTGCCAATCAGGCAGCCCACCCAAGCCTGGGTGCCCAGGGTTTTCACTGGGATTAGTCACGTAGGCAACGGACTAAGGGACAAAGACTGACAGGGTCCTTCAGGCCTGGGCTATCCATGGCCACCCGCACCCGAGGATATCAGTTACCGAAGCTCTAGACCCCAGCAGGAAAGCGGGTGCTCAGCAGAACTCACATTGCTGGTGCAGAGCAACCCAAGCATGAAGAACACTCACCAGACAGAGCATTCCATGGACTTGGCTCCCTGGAGCTGCCCACGGGCCAGTCCTGCAAATGGCCTTTCTCGGGACTGTGTAGGGTTTAAGCAACCATGTCTTCTGAGTCAACCCTTTCTCACACACAGGGCAAGGACTTGAGAATTATCCTTGCTCACGGCTGGGCCAGCTGTGAGCTGAGCCAGGAGTCTGAATGTGACTGCTCCTGCCAGCCCCTCCCCATGGAGAAGGAGGCGGGGGACAGGGGCTGGAGGGGCCATTGAGGGTGCTGGTAGCATAGAGCCTGGGGGAACATGGAGGGGTTAAAGGTCAGGGGGATGGTCATCTGCCAAAGCCTCTGAGACTCAGCGCTTTCCCAGTGATCCCCCGTGCATAGCAGGTTTTTCTGGGTCTAACTCACAATCACTCTGAGACATAAGTATGTGTGTCCCCTCTTAAGAGCCCAACAAGACAAGACTGAGGCTGGGGTGAGGCCAGGCCAGCCTTCAGTCCACACTCTCCCCGTGCCCTCACCACCTCAAACAAGTTATGGGATCACATGCGTGAGGGACCCACAGCATGGGAGGCGCCCCTGACTGGTGACTCTCCTCCTGCAGTGCTCTGTGACCTGTGGCAATGGCACCCAGGAGCGGCCGGTTCTCTGTCGCACCGCGGACGAGCACTTTGGGATCTGCCAGGAGGAGCAACCTGAGAGAGCAAGGATCTGTAGGCTGAACCCCTGCCCAGGTAAGCCCTCTGCTGCCCTGTTGCCTGGGCCCCAGTGTGCAAGCCCCAAGGCCAGGGCGTTGGTCCAGGCAAACGCTCGTCCCACAAGTGGCCTGTACTCAGCGTCCTTGGCCTTGAAATAGAAGTGGAGGCCTCCCAGGCAAGGGCTGGGCCCTTCCCGTGGTGGGCAATATAAGGAACAGCTCATCTTCAGGCAGGCCAGGCCCTGATGAAGGATGGGATGGACTCAGCCCGCCCCTGCCTCCCTGACACTCCCTGTTGGTCTGGGAACTAGAACCAGACTCACAGTGACCACACAACAGGGCTCATACAAGACACATGCCCTGTACCTTGCACAGACAACAGCCAGAATACCAGCTACTTAGACACCTTGGCAAATGCTAGACCTGTGGCCTCTTTTGGTTCCTGAAACAGCTCAAGATGTAGACCCCACACAAGTCCTGTCTACAGAGAAAGGAGCTCAGGGGGGTCAGGTGTGCCCACCCCAGCTGGGGGCAGGGGTGGTAGATCCCAGTTCACTGGGTCCCTGCATTCCTGGAGCAGGCAGTCTGTGCTCAGCTGGGGAGCAGGCCTGGGTTTGGAGGAGCAGTACACGGGTCAGGAGGCCAGCAGCACCTGTGTGATAGCTACTCCATAGCTAAGACCAGGATGCAAGGGTGCAAGGTAGAGAGACACAGGCCCATCTGTCATAAGGGAGAGCCTGGAAGGCCCTCATTGCCCTTCCCAAGGACGCCAGGGTCAATGGAGCAGGGGGCAGGGGAGGCCTGGCTGGTGCCCCAGCGGCTGCAGTCCCTTTCTCTTCCCTCTAGGAAACATCTCCGACCCCTCTAAGAAGAGCTATGTGGTTCAGTGGCTGTCCCGGCCGGACCCCGATTCGCAGGTCCAGAAGACTTCATCAAGTAACCGGCCCGTTTATAACTCTGCCTCTGCCCTCCAGTGCATGCCCTGCGCCTTGTGGAGCTTGCCGTGGGCTCCCCTCCTCTCTTTCTATGGAAAACTCCCCTGACTCTCGCCGAGTGCTCTCAGTTGAATCTGTTTTCTCCTGGGCCTCTGTGCTCGACCATCTCCTTCGGAGCTGCTGGCCACCTGGCCGGGAGGGCCGGCCTTCCAGAGGCAAGGCCCCAGCACTGGCCTCTTGTGGGGGGTCCGGGACCTGGTTGGTGATGGCTTGTAAAGGGTCAAAGATCTGTCATGGTGCTGGTAGGGCCAGCAGCCAAAGTGAGAATGTGACCATTTGGTGACCGCCCCACAGGGCCATATCCCTCCAAGCTGGAGCTGTAGGTTGGAAGTCAAGGGGAAACCTGCCCATCCCCTTTCAAATGCACCTACCACCCAGAGACTGGGGCTCTTGAGGCCTGCAGTTTGTGCTGCCATGCTGGGCAGCCCGGCCCTAAGGGTCCAACGTTTTATTGGGGGCTTCCCAGCTGCCTCTTCTGCTGCTGCTGCTGCTGCTGCTGCTGACCCTGTGCTGAGTGTGTCCTCCTGACTCATGTGACTGTGGCCTGTTTCCTGTGGCCTTTGTGTCCAACTCACACAGCCCTTGCCCCCACGCCCTGTCTCCGCAGGCAGGTTCAGGTCAAACGGAGGAGGCCTGGTATGTGTCCCTCCAGTGGGACAAAGGGACACACTGCCACTCCCATTCTTTGTCCATCAGCTCCAATGGCCTTTCCTTGTCATGCACACACGGCCCCATCCACAGGGGTGAGAGCGTGAGAGAGTGAGACTGATGCGGATGCGGCCACCTGCCAGTGTGAACAACTACAGAATTACCTCAATTTTTATTGCTTTTTTGCTTAGACAAAACTATGTAGAAAATGCCTTAAAGTTGAAAGGTAACAGAATTGGCTGCTAACTCCAGCTTCCGAGCGGGATGTGATCCAGGTGGGAGGCAGAACCAGGTGGGGGGGAATGGTCTAAGTTATCCACCTTTGGCCAAGAGTAAGGTTTCTCAGTCAGGTGGCCTGGCTCCTTGTGCCCCTTGGCCTGTGCAGGGACCCGCACACTCTCCGGCCACCTGTGTAGGAAGGACCCCCACTGGCCAGTGGCGCTGACTGTTGCTGGAGCCCTTGTGGGCGCTCCCACAGCTCTGCCTTACTCCAGAGGGCAACATTCTGGCCCTTCCAGTGACCCGTGTAGCGCTCCCGCCGTCACTCCCACCGCACACCCCAGCGCTGTCCACCCGTGAATATGATAGCATCCCCACCAACACCAGCCTCCTGGCACTGATTACTGTTATGTAAATACTCGGTGTGTACTAATTCTCACGACTGTTAACTTCCAACTTTGACTAGGCCACGCGAGTGACACGAGTGACTCTGGGAAGGTGCCGTACACTCCTGGGCATTGTTCTCTCTGTCTACATGCACTTTGGTTTATCAGGGATATTTTACTAGTGTTTTGTATGTATTTATGGCATATTATATAGGTTCCATTGTCGTTGCTTTCCAGTGTTGTTGTTTTTTTAATGAGACCATGTGAGTGTGTGCCAAAGTGACTGTGAAAACAACCTTTTATTCTTACTAACGCTGGAAGGACTTCCTGTCATGCAGCCCACAAATAAACTCAATAAAAGTTCAGTGAAACCGAGTGCTTGGGTTCGGCACACTGTTGGCTGGCTCCTTCTCGTCCTCTCTGTGGCTGATGGCACATGGAGCTGCGGGTGCTCTTCTGTCTATTAGTTCCTTGGTTTCTGATTCAATGCACTTTGCTGGCCTTTCTCTTGCCAAAGGAGATGTTTAAGGTCCCTCTGCTGTGGAGACACGCCCCACCCCTCCTGTGAAGACACACCATTGTGACTTTGAGTTCTTCTCCATTTCCTAGGAAGGGTCCCAGGCAGGGAGGAGGAAAACAATGAGAAAGTTTGACATGAAGTTACCATAAGTCATGGACATGGGCTTCGGGGCACAGTGCCAAGCCCCAGGTATCAGTTTGCAGGGTAGGGGATCCTGGTAGTTGTGGCTGAGTCCTGGCTCCCCAGGGCTCTGGCCATGGAAAGGAATTCCAGCTCAAGAGAGACAAGGAGACCAAGGCAGAACTGCGTTCACTCAGTCTCCTTTCTGGACAAATCGGGAGAAACCCCCAGAGTTCTGTGTGCTTGGGGACAGCCAAGGTGATGGAGATGTGGGCAGACGGGGGATGCCTGCCACTTCCTTAACTTGTCACACAATCTTTTGAAAGGTGAAATGATGCAGAGAAAACAAAGCTCTCTCCACCCCAGGCTTTTCCGGCGTGGGGTGGACAAAGGTGATTCAGGTTGCCTGTAAATGTGGCCTGAGTCCACGGAGCAGCAGGTCCCCATCCTCATGGTCCCTCATGGCCACCTCGGGAGAGAGTGGAACTCACACAGGTCTCAGCGTCTCTCATGCTTGCTCATTTCTTTCCAACTCAGGCCACACAGCAACGCCCTCTCCTGGCCCCTGAGCCTTTGCCTTCACTCATAACAGGGTTGGTGAGTCTCTCCCTGGAATTTGAGGAAAACTGGACTTATAAATTGACTTAAGAAAACATAAAACTTCTCTTTGTACCTTATTTGCCACAGTAGTTTGACATGAAGGGTAGTGTGAAATTTTCTTCTAAAATAAGATTTAAGTCAAAAAAGGAGTTAACTTAAAGGAGGAAAAAACTAAGCAAATAATCACACAGGTTATTAACGCAGATACAGCCAAGACTATGGGAATGGCACACAGATTTCAACTGGTGACAATGGGTCCTCTCACCAGCTTGTTCACTGGAAGGCAGTAGGTCTTGCTGGGAATAGCTGAGGATGGAGGGTTGGGAAACTGAAGTTGTCATCCCAAGCCAGTCAGTGCCTCAGTGCATGTCTCTCTGCCTTGGATGGTATAATTTCCTCTTCTTCGTCTCAGCGCTCAGAAATGCTTCTTAAAAACCCACAACCATTCATATCCTTTTAAGGGTGATAGGTAATGATTCTTTTTAAATTAATCGAGGCTGATATTAGCAGAGCCAAGCTTTTGGCCAGTAGCCTTCTCAATTATTTATACATTCACTGAATTTTAATTTTTAAAAACTTAAAGCACTGCAGCCCAGTATTCAAAGAAATCAGACCCAGAAGATTACATGTAAGCCAGGGAGCAGGGAGGCACCCTGGGGGGAGCCTGTTTGTGTCAGGGAAATGGACGGCTCATCCCAATGTGTCCATTCACTCAGCAGCAGTTGCCGAGTGCTTTCTGTGTCAAGCTCTGACCCGGGCACTGAGGACACTACCAAGTACCTGAGCAGAAGTCAGCAAACTTTTACTCTAAACGGCCAGATAACACTGGGGGACATGTGGTCTCCCCCACAACTACTCAACTCTGCCTTGGAAGTGAGAAAGCAGCTGTAGATAATAAATGAACGGCATGCCTGTACCAGTAAAACCTTATTTGCCAAACCAATTAGAGGGACTCACTTGGCCCGAGGATGTAGTAAGCCCACCCCTGGCTTAGACTGATGTGATGTCTGCTTCTCAGGATTCCAGCCTAGTTGGAGGCAGGAGGGGGAAGATGCTTAATACCAACCTTGCTAGGAGTGAAGAAAAGGCTCTGGTGACAGGAGAGTGCATGCTCTCTGTATGTGCCTCTGCCCCTCCCCAGGCCCCAGCTGACCAGTGGGTCTCCCTAAGGTCTGTGACCAGTGCTTTTGACATAGCTCACCTGCCAAAAAGGGGCAGTGGCCAGGGAGGGGGAAGGGAGAGAGAGGGACTCTGACCGCCTCCGACCTCATGGGTTTCAAACAAGACTACTCTAATTTCATCTGTCGCATATTTTGGACATCTGTGTACGATTCCATCTATCAGTTTTAAAACCCTGAAAATAACATCTCTGGGTCTTCTAATTTGATTTCTGAAATCAACTCTCGGCCCTCAACCACCTGTCTGTCTTTCTCCCTTCACATTGTGAGCCTGTTACTCAATCTCAAGGTGAGGAAGACCAGGGCTGTTCCTGACCAGCCGATCTGTGTTTATCCCTTTGCATTGTGGGTCCTGAAGCCAGCCATGCTTCCTGCCTGGTTTGGCCACTTAAGTGCTCAGAACCCAAACTGGTCCCACCTCTGGTTGGTCGGTGCCTCTATGTGTTCTTGCCTGTAACGTTGCTATTGTAAAATGCATAAATGTCCTGTTCTGGACTTCCTCCATTATTCACATTTATATTGCTTACATTTGTACCTTTACTGGTTCTTTCATTCACTCTTCTAGGCTCTGGGGATAGAGGGGACATTCAACTATAGCTTGGGCCTCTGCCATTTGGTGCTTACAGGATAATGAACAAGTCACACATCAGTCACTTTACCTGACAATTAAATGTGAGCTTACCAACTGGGATGAAGTGCTGGGAAGGAGAGATTCGTGGTACGAGGGGACCGCACACCGGTGGGATTTAACCTCCTAAGGGAGGTAGGCGATGCTTGTCTGAGGAAGATGTGTTTCATCTGAGCCTAGAGGAGAAGAGAGCAGCTGGAGGCAAGAGGCTCAGCATGTGCAAAGGCTTTGTGGCCAGAAGGAGCCCCACAGAGCAGCAGGTCCAAGGCCTGAGGGAAACCAGAGAGGGTTGGGGACAGCTCTTCACTCGGAAAACAAAGGGCAAAGCAGGGGCTTCACTCAGGACAATGACAGGGTCACATTTCCAGTTGAAAACCATTCTGATTGTAGACAAGTAGGCAGAAAGGTGGCTCTTACCACAGTGTGCCACAGTGTGTGGAGGTGAGAGGAAGGAGAGCGTGCACATATCCGAGAGGGTATAGACTTGGAAATGGCTGGATGGGGTGTGCACCTGAAAGGCATTCTCGGAGGCAGATGGTACCAGCAGAGGCTGTGGGCTTGGGCTGCATGTGTGAATTACCAGGCAGCTTAGGGACTGTTGGGGTTATGGGGTGTCTAGTAGGAAGTTGTGCCCATGAATCTAAACCTTGGGGAGTTTGGGGTTGGTGCCCAACTAAGTGGTCACCAGCCTATAGGAAAAATTACAGGTTTGAGCAGTTGCCACGCAGCAGGTGAATATCAGGGGTCCTGAGTGGAGGGGCCTGCCTGGCTGCTGTGGCAGAAAGTTTTGATGGGCAGGCGGAGCTGCAGATGGAGGCGTAGATAATCTGTATGTTGGTGAATCCATATATGTGGTTCCCATCCCATGGCTGCCCTTCTTCCCCTCTTCCCTTCCTCTCAGTAGGAGCTGAGGTCAACTGAGGAGAGTGAGGAAAGGGCGGTCACAGCACAGGTTTGTGTGGGAAAGGCTGGGAGCCTCTCTGTGGAAAGCAGAGTGTCTGAGCAGAGAAACAAGTAGGTGGAGTGGGGCCCATTGAGGTTGTTACAAAGCGAGTCCCCAAGAGATGAACCACCGGAGCCAATTTGATTAAGCATGCAAGAATTTATTACAGATTCGAATCCGGGCTCAAACCTTGGCTGACGCAGCAGCCGGCAAACACCCAGGCAAGAGCCCCGATGGAGGGGCAGTCCCTCCTCTTATACCTCTTTTTCTCATCCCATCCCACTGTTGGTCTGTCACTCCCTGATTGGCCCCTCAGGACAAAGAACTGGCTGTCCTTAGCTATTCCTTAGGTGGTTTACACAACCTGGCCTGTTTTGCTTCAAACAAAATGTCTGTTCTGACTCCAAACAGTAGTGCAGGATGCTGTGGTTTTTATGACCCCAATTTCCCAGCCAGATCCAGAGGGAGGTCTGCATGTCCCACCCCAAAGGAGTTCCCCAGCGCTGAGTTATGACTGACTTTTATTTTTTTAAACTTTCCCCCCCTGGCCTGGTCTGTCTCCAGAGTCCTTATCTCTTGGGCAGACGGGGCCGACTGTCACAGAGGTTAGTCATCAAGAATTTATAAGATCAAATGCCCCCTGTGATAGTACTCATTCCTTCATATTGAATGAATTTTGTAAATCATCTCAATATGTGTGTTGCATGTGAAATGCGGTGGTGGGGGGAATGGAATTTGGAAAGAACACAGAGTAAAGGGGAGTGAAAACAAGAGGAGTTGGATGGGTTGGCTCAATCTAGCTGCAGACAGAGGTGGAGCTAGGCTAGGGAGAAGGCAGCTGCGTGGGGAAAGAGAGACAATGTGGTCTCCAAGGAAAGAGTCAGACTCCCCATGCAAGCTGGACCGTGGGTGACCAGTGTCCTGGCAGGAAGGACAGGGAAGGATGTGCTGGGCAGAAGGATTTGCCTATGTGAAGGCATCAAGTTATGGAGCCATTGGCTTGAGAAATAGCTGGGAGCTCAGTGCAACAGGGCAATGGGGTGAGTGGGGCAAGACACAAAGCTCTCAGGTAAGTTGAAACAAATGGAAGAAAACCCATATTTTAAATTTCCCTTTAGGCACTTTTCAGAAACAATGATTGTCTGGGGAGTTTGCTGAGGATTGGAACAAATGTGAGGAGTGTGGTGAGGCCATAGCCAAGGCTCTGGGTTTGCTCTATCAGGTTTTAGGAATTGGTTCTTTGGGGGTTGATTTTGTTATAGTTACCGATTATAGATTATTGTAGAGTCAATCATTACCACAGGGATGTCACTTGTAAAGATATGACAAAGTCCCACTCTTTAAAATGAGCTGGAATCACTCCCCCACGTCTATCTCCCCCCTAACCCCCAACCCCCAAGAACAGACAGGTCTCATTTCTGCCTCGAACTCTGAAGGATAGTGAAAAATCTAGACTCAGCTGGGGCCTGCGTGGAGGAGGGACCATTGCTCACAGCGTGGCTGCACTCCAGGGCAGGCCTGGCACTCCTCTGACATGGAAACCACACAGACTTTCCGTGTGAGCTCGCTTGCCTGTGCACTGTCTCTGGGCTCTTTCAAATGCCTCCTGCAGCAAGCTGCCCCCTAAAGGGACACAACATTTCCCTTATCTCGTCCTTCGGTTATTTGTCCCGCTTTTCTCTTTCAGAGGGCCGCTGCCAAGGCGACAAGTCAATGTTCTGCAGGATGGAAGTCCTATCTCGCTATTGCTCCATCCCAGGCTACAACAAGCTGTGCTGCAAGTCCTGTAACCTGCATGACAACCTCACTGACGTGGATGACAGGGCAAGGCCACCGCCCGGGAAGCATAATGACATTGAGGAGCTCATGCCCACCCTCCCAATCCCCACTCTAGTCATGGAGGTGCAGCCTGCGCCAGGCCCGCCCCTGGAGGTGCCTCTCAATGCCTCCAGCACCAATGCTACTAAGGAGCACCCAGAAACCAATGCGGTTGACGTGCCCTACAAAATCAATGGCCTGAACAATGAAGTGCAGCCACCCAACCTAATCCCTCGACGGCCAAGCCCATCTGAGAGAACCAGAAACCAAAGGATCCAAGAGCTCATGGATGAGATGAGGAAGAAAGAGATCCTCGGATAGTTCTAATAAAGTGAAAGGTAGCATCAATAGCATTTTTTTCCCTTGCTTATAGAGATATTCCATGGGATGCCATCCTGTGTCATGGTGATTAAGTCAAAATTCCCCAAGTCCCAAAAGTTTGGAGGGAACAGAGGGAGAATCACATGAAAATGGATATGTGTGTTTTATACAGATGGTTGTGAGCATGTGGCCAACAAGGAGAACACATGGGTGTCCCAGCCCCAGAATGTTCTAAACCCTGAACTGGGCTTGGGTCTGGGGTAGAGAGCAATGTGGAGGTTCTATAGCCTTTGTCAGTGAGGGAGGGCAAAAGGACTAGCTTGGAGAAAGAAGACATTTGCCTCAAGTTTCTGAGCAGTAACCAGTGGTGACAACACAGGCATTTCCTTCTAATCCCCAGGCCTGGACATGAGCCCCATGGGGACTCTTAGGAAACAATGATTTAGTCACTAACTTCCCAGCCACTAAGCTGAGCACACTGAGGTAGAGGCCGTGGACTCCGGTGCCTTCAATGCCAGGCAGGTGGTGAGGACAAGTGTGGTGGCTCCAACATTACTGCCTCTGTGAGAACTGGCCTGCTGCCAGAGAACATGCTTTTTCACTAGAAGTCTAGATTCCGTGTGAAAATTCTGTCTTTAAAGATCAGTCCAAAATACTCGGAGGAGGCCGGGAGTCTGTTAAGGTGCAGGGCCGCCAGGCTGCAGCCTCTGGTCTCAGACATGACCTGACACAGCCTGGCCAATCAAGGACTTAGGGAAGCCATCTGACGCATTTGGTGCTCACCAGCTGTGCTGTCTCGGCCATGTCTGACTGTGACGCTGGCCATTTCTTCCTGGGAAAGTCCCTGGAATCCTATAACTTTGGCTTGAGGATTGATCTAAACAGGAGGTCATGTTTTCTGCAAGATGAGAATTCAGTGGGGTGCACTCCCAGGTCTCTCTCCTCTCCATGAACTCTGACCTTCCTTGTCCCCTCTGGCCAGCCTGGCCTTGGCCCTGCAGCTCCCCAAAGGGGCTTTCTCCTTCCACAAGCGCATGGGAAGGCTGACAGGCATGTGCTGTGCTGGGAAGTCCAGTGAGTGGTCAAGACTGACTCTCCCAGAGGGGCAGGAGTGCTGCCACCAGGATGGTCATGCCTCAGGGACCCACAATGGACTTTTTAGGCTTGGGTATGCTTGTGGAGGATAGGCCTGCCCTATTGGAGCCTTCCAGCCCCCAGCCCTGCCCCCACTGTCATCCCTTAAAAGTTTCAATAGGGAACTGCCAGATCTGTCCTCTGATGGGAGGCATTGGGTGGGAGGTGGGGAGAGCCCTCTTTTGCTCTTTCCAAACAATAACAGTTTCTATTTCGGCAGAATGGTGCTTTGTGAGCAAGATGTGAATGAGAGAGAAATAAGAAGGGAGTGGGTGGAGATGGGTGGGAGAACAATGGCTAATTTTTACCTCTCCCTGCATTGATATTAACATGCAGCTTCAATTTCCCAAAATTGTAAGACCTGGGGGGCATATTAGCTCCTTAGCTGGGCCTCCCTTAACATTATTGGGCTTTTCATACCCACAGAATTCCAGAGCCTTTTTATTCTTGCCAGTCAGATCTTAGAGAACTCTTTCTTGTTTAAGTCCCCATTATATGGGCAAAAATACCGAGGCTCAGGAAAGTACCATGCCAGCAATTTTATACTGAGTTTTGCAGTCTGTGTGTGTGAATCTGTGCATGTATGTGAGTGTGTGTGTGTGTGTGTGTGTGTGTGTGTGTGTGTGTAGCCTAAGGGACAAAGGAAGGGTATAGGACATAGTGAGGACCATTCTAGGATAATGCTTAACTGTCCAACTGGATGATGACCAGCCTTCCCGTCCCCTGGTATAGCCGCCCTCTCTTTCTGCCACCATGCCCCACACATGCTCAGACACTGTGCAATGTCTAAAGGAGCTTGTTGACTCCTAAGAACTAAACTGGAGAAACGTTTTGAACATCTCTCATAGTATCGCTTCTTCTTTAGTAAGGTGTGGTATACAGTACTTTCACAATCCTGTCATTATAATTAGGAAATGGGTCCCTCTGCTGGTATTGGTTACGACCTGAAAGACTGGGCAGTTCGTGCTTGGGTCTGTCTTGGAATGTAAAGGAAGTTTGGGATGACTAACCCTGGCCTGGGATCCTCAGAATCAGAACGATCCACTCCCAGATCCTAGCAAAGTGGGGCTGCATATCTTGGGGCCAAAAATCTTTGGAGAGAGGCCCTCGGTGGGACATTGCCAGGGGTACCTGTCTTTGGCTAGTGGGAGAGAGATGTGCTCTGGAAGCTGTAGGCCAGCAAGGCCATGTCCTCACATGCCATACTCGGTGCCTTGGACCATATATCCAGAGTGCTCCAGACGTAAGCAGTCCTCAGAGGTCTCTCCCCAAGGAATGCAGTGTTCATGCAGCTCTGAGAGACTGAAAGTCGCTGAGCTTGGGACAGTTGGAGAGCAGGCTGAGCAACAGTGCTGAGCTTCCATGGTCAGCCCTGTGTTCAAAGCTCCTGCCTTGTGTGTAGGGAAAGCCATGCAGCTATTCTAGCTGAGTTTCATAACACCATGTGTGACTCAGGTGTCCTCTGTCCACAGTTAAAAAAAAAAATGCTGAGGGACTCGAGGATCACTTTATGTTCACAGGGAGAATTGTGCTAGCCTTTTGGCACCTGGCTCTTGATATATTGCTTTTGGAAAACCCATGGAATTTCACATATAAGCATTTCATTTGTAGTTTAACTTGGTTTGTCTTTTTGCTTGTTTGTTCCTTGGTTTGGAGTGTATAAATGGTGCTCAATAGTCAACGTCTATCAGGTGACTGTGTACTCCTGTGTGACAGGCAGCCAGCACACACAAAATCATCATGGTGCTGAACTCCAACCACATTTATCTTACTGATCACAGCAAACAATACATCTGTCTTCTGTATAGTAAAATTTGGTTCCTTGATTTTATAACTTATTAAAGTCACAATGTCTGTGTTTTTGCACATCGTGCTTGTGTTGTTTCTTACCTCAATGGCACTTGTCCACATGCCCAGCTTGGACTTGAGCAGATGGAAGGATATGCTGTCCTCAAAAAGCCAAGAGGGGAGGAGGAGACCAGTACAGGGTGAGAGACAGCCAGAGGGACTTATCCCTCGCCCAGCTGCTCATGGAGTTAGCTTGCCAGGTGTCTGGAGTAAGCCCACAACTCCAAAGGAAACCTTTAGTTCAGAGAGACGAAGATGCTCCAAACACCTCCTCTTCCGCGATTCTATCTCTGCTGTAGTTAGGGCTTCCTGGAAAAATACCCGAGGTTATATTAAACTTGAATTTCAGAGAATAACAAATAATATTTAGTGTATGTTCCATTTTTATACTAAAAACTTTTGTTGTTTCTCTGAAATTCAAATTTAACTGAGAATCCTGTGTTTTAATTTGGTAACCCTGCTTATAAAAGACAAGTTCATTGCTCTGGCCCTCTTTGATACAGGTGTTGGGGAAAAGGAACACTGAAGGGTGCAAAATTCCCCAGCTAAGAAGGAGGCCAACAACATGTACCAAGAAATCATACTAGTTTGGAAGGGGCCTGCAGGTGGCTTTGGGATGCAGAGATTTCTCCTCTTGTTCACTGTAATTTGGTTGGACTCTGTTTTCATAGTAGAGTTGTCCTTTAGAACAGGGAACAGACAGTGTGTGTTTAGAGTAAGGGAGGAAGGTCAGTTGACGAAGCAGAACTGGCTGAGATGAAATGTTTGAAAAGGTTATTCATAACCAGATAGCTCAGAGAGGTTCTTTTAGAAAACAGGTCTGGGTTACACAGGAAGCAGTAAGGAAAACCCAATCTGTGCTTTCTGAAGATGTGGACAGATGGCTAAGAGGAGCTAATTGCAGAGGTTCCGGCCACAACCCCTCCTCTGTGCACTGTGTAAGTCCCTGACTCACAGGCACAGACTAGCCAAGCCATGGTCACACCCTGCCGTAGAGGCCACGTGGCCAGAAACTTACCCTCTATACCTCATGGTTCCACAGAGTTGTATCTTCAGTCTTGTGATATTACTCATAATCCATACTCCCATGATTTTATACCCCAACATTTGTATGCACGCCCCAAATTATACCACTATGGCTCACAAGCCACATCCGGCTCTTTGGTCCCTTGAGTGTGGCTCTTCCACAAAATACCACGGCCTGGAAGAGTCTATTTTGAAGAAATGGTGTTAGAAGAAGTTTAAGTTTGCCGGAACCAGTTTGGCTCAATGGATAGAGCGTTGGCTTGGGGACTGAAGGGTCCCGGGTTCGATTCCGGTCAAGGGCATGTACCTTGGTTGCAGGCATATCCCCAGTAGGGGGTGTGCAAGAGGCAGCTGATCGATGACTCTCTCTCATCGATGTTTCTAACTCTCTATCTCTCCCTTCTTCTCTGTACAAAATCAATAAAATACATTTATAAAAAAAAAAAAAAAGAAGAAGAAGAAGAAGTTTAAGTTTAAAAAATTTGGCTCTCAAAAGAAATTTCAATCATTGTACTGTTGATATTTGGCTTTGTTGATTAATGAGTTTGCCAACCACTGCCCTAGAGCAAAGGAAACTATGGAGAAAAGTAAACAAATGAGACTATATCAAAATCAAAAGCATATGCACAGCAAAATGAAACCGTCAACAAAATGAAAAGACAGCCCACTGCATGGGAGAACATATTTGCCAATTATTCATCTGATAAGGGGTTAATTTCCTAAGTACTATATAGGAAACTCATGCAACTTAACAAAAGGGAGATTAACAATTCAATTAAAATATGGGCAAATGACCTAAATAGACACTCTCCAAAGTGGATATATCAAAAAGAGACATGAAGAAGTGCTCAAAGTCACTAATCATCCAAGACATGCAAATTAAAACTACAATGAGGTATCACCTCACACTTGTCAGAGTGGCTATCGTCAACAAACGACAAGTGTTGGCGAAGATGCGGAGGAAAGGGAATCCTAGTACACTGCTTGCAGTAATGCAGACTGGTGCAGCCTGTGGAAAACAGTATGGAGTTTCCTCAAAAAATTAAAAATGGAATTCCAATTTGACCCAGTAATCCCACTCCTGGGAATATATTCTAAGAATCCTAAAAAACCAATCAGAAAGAATATATGCACCCCTATTTTCACAGTAGTACAATTTGCAATAACTAAGATTTGGAAACAGACCAAATGCCCATCAGCAGATGAGCGGATTAAAAAGCTGTGGTACATTTACACAATGGGATACTATGCAGCTATGGAAAAAAAAAAAAAAAAAAAAAAAAACTCTTTACCATTTACAACAGCATCAATGGGCCTGGAGAATATTAAGCTAAGCAAAATACGCCAATCAGAGAAAGATAAGTATCACATGATCTCACTCATAAGTAGAATCTACTGAACAAAATAAACTGATGAACAAAATAGATCCAGAGGCAAAAAAGCATGGAACAGACTATCGAATTTCAGAGGGAAGGATAGTGTGGGAAACAATCAACCAAAGAACTTGTATGCATATAGGCATAACCCATGGAAAAGAGAATAGGGTGGTGAAAACCTAGAGTAGTGAACGTGCTAGAAGAGGTCATTTCCTTGCCTCACACCCAGAGGTAATCACCATCCCAACTTTTGTGTTCAAGTGGAAACTCGTCTCCAAAGATGATTCCCCAATGAACCATGTCCCCAGGTAGTCACTCAACCCTTATACCATCTCCCTTTGAATCTGGGCCAAATCTGTGAATCATTATTGACCAATGGAATACTGTATGACTTCCAAAACTGAGTTATAAAATTTGCAACTTGTCCATAAGTCTCTTAGAATGCTTGCTCTTGAGTCACTGTCAGCCACCCTTCTATGGAGAAGCTCAAATAAGCTCTTAGTCAGCTATCATCAACTGCCAGAGATCTTGGAAATCAAGCTTACTTGAGCCTTCAGCCCCAGCTGCCATTTGACTGCACATGCATTAGAGACACCAAGAATTGCTCGGATGAGCCCAAACATGGAACCAAGACAGATATCAATCAATTGTTTCAAGCCACAAAATTTTGAAGTGAGTTGTTATTAGATAGTCTAGCTAGGATAGTAGAAGGATAACTAGAATACCTCTCAATCACTTGCTGTTTTTAATTTCTTCATATTTATAAATCATTTAGTATAAATTTTGAAAAAATGGTATCATACTATGTGTAGCTTCCTATACCTTTTAAAACTCATTAGTATGTTTTAAAATTCATGTTTTGCATGTAGCTTTGGTGCATTCATTTTTATTACATTCAACTGTGTTAATATTCTAAAATTTATCCATTCTCTTATTAATGGACATTATGACTACTTTCAAATATTTGCTATTATGGTCAGTGCTAAGAATACTTGTATACATGTCTCTTTGGGCTCATATGCAAGTATTTATCTAGCATATACAAATAGAACTTTTGTTTTATGACATGCACATGGACAACCTTACAAGATGTCAATGATTTAAATCAATTTATACTCCCACTATTAAGAGTATGAATGTGTTATTCTACACATTCCAAAACTCATTGTTGTCAACCATCTTAATTTTTTGTTATCTGTACTTATAAAATCATGCCTATAGCCCTTATATGTATTTTTAAGTACTAATGAAGTTAAGCATTTTTTAATTTTTGGAAATATGTATTTCTTCTGTGAAATAAGCAGCCATGTATTCAGACCACTTTTTTTCTACTAGGTTGTCTTGTTTCAAATTTTCCAGATGATTATTTTAATGTGATCAAATATGTAAAATATTTATATAACTTACTTGTTTCCTGTTTAAAAAATCCTTTCCTACTTTTAGGTCATAAAGTTCTCTCTTACATATTCTTCCAAGGTCATAGTTTTGCCTTTTATGTGTTATGGTGAGGGTAGGCATCTTTTTCTTTCTTTCTTTCTTTCTTTCATGAGAACCATTTGTCTTTTTGAGCCATTACTGAATAGTTCATTCTTTTTTCATATTTGTTGTCATGAATACTAAAATTTTCCCATTTTCTTCAGCAGGTTTTTTGTAAATACCTTTTTACTAAGTTAAGGAACTTCCTTTCTATTGCTTAAGCTTTAACATGATTGAATGCTGAGAATTTTGACTGCTTTTTCTGCATTTGATGAGCATACAGATTTCTCTCCTTTGGAGGTGCATAGCATCCGTAAGTTTTTAAATGTTAAATAAACCATGTATTCTCATTTTTTTTAAACCCTACATTTATCATGACCTATTAAACCATGCTAATGCTATTTGGGACTTTTACACTTCTGTTCATGGTGATAATGACAAATAATTTTCCTTTATGTTTCTATGTCTGATTTGGGTAATGAGTTTATTAGAATCGTTGTGCTGATATATCATCTCCTCTGAAAGCCTTTGTATAAGACTTACATGTTCTGTTAAAAAAAAAAAAAAAAAAAAAAAAAAAAGTTTGATAGACCTCACCTTAAAAATAACTGGGCCTAACATTTGTGAGATTTAATTCAGTTTTGTTCTTGTTTTTGCTGAGTTTAAGGCTATCAAAACTTGAGGAATGTTAGGATTTAAAAGTCTGTGTCCCCACAAAACCTGTATGTTGAAATCCAGGCAATGACATTAGAAAACAGAAGCTTTGGGAGGTGATTATCAAGAGGGTGGAGCCCTCATGAATGTGATTAGTGTCCATTTAAGAGGCCCCACATTATCCCATCCACCATATGAGAACACAACCATGCTAGTTCCACCAGAACACAACCATGCTAGTTCCTTGATCTTGGACTTGGCAGCCTTCAACAGTGAGAATAAAATTGTTTCTAAACCACCCAATCTGTGATACTTAGCTCCAGCAGCTCAAACAGATTAAGACAAGGAAGTTATATTTTCCTAGAAATTTTCACAGTAATTAGAGAATTTAAATGAATGGTTGTGGGAAAAGGTGCAGGTGGAGCATTTAATGACTCAGAAAAGTTTGTTCCTCGCAAGTCTAAAACAATGATATTCAATAGTCCCAGGAGGCAAAAAGTGAATTCAATGATTTCTGTTTTGCTTACACTCTATCTCAAATAGCACTTTTTCTGTGTGTGTGTTTTTTAAACAAATGGATATTTCAGTCTTTGAGTGCTTCCTATTCCTGACAAACTGGGCAAAACTAGATGACTTTGGCCTCTGTCAAGTTCAATAATTTTAGTCTGTTGTGACATAACTGCTCAAATTATTTACATTTCAGAAATGCTTAAGTAGACTAACTTATTGAAGGATAGAATAGTCCATTTTTATAGAAAGAAGCACCTGAACTAAGAACCTGATTTTTTCTAGTGACCTGCAGAGCACAGGGAGTGAGTGCTATGTGATGGGGGTGAAA